GATCTCTGTGCCTTTCGCCAGCTTTCTCAGCCAACTGCAATGCCAATTGCTCCCTTTTTGGTGGTTCCGCTATTCTAAAAGATGGACCTTGACTTGTTCTTAACAATGGAGTGTCACCACCATCTAATCGGAAAGGTGTCCCTTCAATTTGACCCCATGTCATCAATGGACTTTCACACTCTCCTGGTCTTGGACTTGGCGTAGCCACAAAACTAAAGCCATTTACTCGCGGCGTCGCATTCCTGACGACTTCTTTGCCGTCCACACCAATCTTACCATCATTAGTTCTGGATTGCGACTTAGCCAATTCATTGATAGTTTCCTTATTTTGTTGCTCGTTGAATGGATTTATCCTCAGTCTCGTATTTTCATGCAATACAGTTTGCTTCTTTTTAGCTAACTCTATTTTCTCTTCAGCTGTAAGTTCCACTCCATCAGGAATATACATAATGTAATTTTTATTCTTATAAGCCCAACTATCTACTTGTTTGGGCCTAGTATTTGATCCTTCGATTGCTAGAATATCAGTCGCAGGTTTGTCAATGGCGAGCCACGATTTTGATTTCTCTTCCGCCTCATAAAGCCAGGCGTACTTCAATTTACGTTTGTTTTCGGCCTCGATCATCATCTCTTCAAAACTAGCATTATCTTCACTTGTATGAGAACTTAAATAATCGTCGAGACCAGTTTTATTTTCTTCTTTATTATCCTTTTTTACATATTCGACAGATGTTTCCTGGGACGATACTTCAGAGGTGCATGGCAATTCATCCGACTCAGTTCGGCGTAGCGGAGTTTCAAAAGTTGCAGGACTAACTGGCCTTTCTGTGATAGGTCGACCGGAGCTATATTTCTCATATAACTCTCTCATTCTCTTTATATCATTATGCTCTAAAGCATCTAGATATTCATTCTGTGCTTGTAATTTTTCTAGATGTGGAAAGAAATCCCTTTGTATGATTTCACTCATTTTCTCGATATATGTGTCTTCATCTAAGATCTTTGGTTGAGTACTTTTGCTCCTTTTTGCAGATCCAATAGGCTTCTTAAATATTGCCAGATCTTTTATATCCTTGGCAGCTTCAAGAGCTTTAGAGCCTGGACTATCCATAATGGAATCTAAAAGATTAAAATTAATATGAATAATAAAAAAGAATTTAAATGACAAAAAATTATGTTTATATCAATACTTGATTACTTACTACTCATTTTGAATAACAGTGCAAGTGCAGATAGAGGTTATACAACAGAATTCTTGTTCAATGTTGTTATTACACAGAACATGAACATTTACGGGTATAGAGAATGTTCTTTGTTTGCAAATCTGCTTAATACATATCTGTACGTATTAGATAACGTCATATTTCTTTAAATATACAGAGTTTTTTTCGACCATGAAATATTTACACATTCCATTCTGCTATCATACACTCATACACGTGATAGGTTTGTTAATTTAATTGCACTTGTAGTATATGCTGTCGATTTTCACTTTTGCCTCTTTTTTTCTTTCAAATATATATATTTTTTATTTTAAATGTAAAAAATGTAACGTAGTACAGCTGACAATGAGAAAAACCGAACCTAATGTGACAACGTAGTGCAAGAATGGCATGCAACATTACCGACATTAATAATCGTAACAGTTGATATGCGACATGGCGCCATCTCGCGTTAATAAGGTTGTGTACCGTTTTAACTGGCAGTACATCATAAAGTTTAATTCGCGGCAGAATTCAGGATATAGTTTTATACATTATTCATTATTCGAAACTTATGCAGTTTAAAAAATGTATTTATAAAGTTGAGTATATTTTATTTTTATATGGACATAGAATGCGTGGTAGAGGAGGTATCTGAAATGGCAGATTTAATACTCATAATTCACTATTTAAAAACTTTAACCATGTATGAGTTTGAAATCGTGATGGCCACCGAGAACATAGAGGTAACATGTTTATTATCGGAATGCAAAAATTAAATTATTTTACAACATTTACATCTTCATTAAATTACTGTGATAACGTCATATTTCTTTAAATATACAGAGTTTTTTTCGACCATGAAATATTTACACATTCCATTCTGCTATCATACACTCATACACGTGATAGGTTTGTTAATTTAATTGCACTTGTAGTATATGCTGTCGATTTTCACTTTTGCCTCTTTTTTTCTTTCAAATATATATATTTTTTATTTTAAATGTAAAAAATGTAACGTAGTACAGCTGACAATGAGAAAAACCGAACCTAATGTGACAACGTAGTGCAAGAATGGCATGCAACATTACCGACATTAATAATCGTAACAGTTGATATGCGACATGGCGCCATCTCGCGTTAATAAGGTTGTGTACCGTTTTAACTGGCAGTACATCATAAAGTTTAATTCGCGGCAGAATTCAGGATATAGTTTTATACATTATTCATTATTCGAAACTTATGCAGTTTAAAAAATGTATTTATAAAGTTGAGTATATTTTATTTTTATATGGACATAGAATGCGTGGTAGAGGAGGTATCTGAAATGGCAGATTTAATACTCATAATTCACTATTTAAAAACTTTAACCATGTATGAGTTTGAAATCGTGATGGCCACCGAGAACATAGAGGTAACATGTTTATTATCGGAATGCAAAAATTAAATTATTTTACAACATTTACATCTTCATTAAATTACTGTGCATGTCTGCAATCTATTCGAATATATAAAATTATGATGTCACAGATATCTGATTGACAAAAATTAGTGAAGTGATTTAATTACACATGTATAAT